CCGGGGTGGTGTCGGGGACCCCCCCCCCCCCCCGCGGTGCTAGCCCCGGGGGATGGGGGGGGGGCGGACGTGGACGGTGGCGGCGGGAAGAGGCGGGGGGAGGCGGAGCTCTGCCCCAGCCGGGAGCCCACAGCGCCCTGCCCTGCGCGGCGTGGGGGACGGGACCGGCCGAGGCGCCGCCGCCGCCGGTGTCACGTGCGGGGCCGGTGCGTATAACACAGCGCGGGGCGGGAGGGTCGCGCGTGGGGCGGGCTGGCGGCGGGAGCTGCGTGAAGCGGTGAGGCTGAGGCGAGGCATGGCATGGCGGCGGGTCAGCCCACCCGCCCCGGGCGTGTTTTCTTCCGCGCAGCGTCGGGTAGCGGAGAGGACAGGGGAACGGGGAGGGAGGGAGATACGTTTCCTCCCGCTGCGGCGGCGGCGGCGGCTTTGTTGCTGCCGTTATTGCGCTTCTCGGTGTCCCTTCTCCCCCGGAGCTGCTCCCGAGCCGGCGCGGCGCTGCCCGCCAAGTTCAGCCGGAGCCGGCTGCCGGGGGCGCGGCGGGGCGGCTGGGCCGGGCCCGGGCCGGCCTGGTGCTGAGTGAAGGGGGTACGTGCCCCGCCAGCCCGGCTCGGTGGTCTCCGGGAGGGCGTTTGGGGGTGAGGTGAGGGGTGTCGCTGCTCCCCAGACCCCCTTCCCTCAGGGACTCCTACCGGGGGATCCGCCCGCTGTGGGTGGGGGGGCAAAGTAAGGCTGGCTTGAGGCTGAGGAGGGGAAGCAGAGGCAGGCGGGGTGCGGGGGGGGCTGTGGCCTGCTGTGGTGCGCGGGTGGCCCGTCCTCCTCCTCCTCCTCCCTGCAGCTGCCCCGTGGCCGTGGTGGAGCTGGGGGGGGGGGTAGTCTCTTGGCCCGTACCACCGGGCTGTGGTGGTCCCGTCCACACCTTGGGTCTGAGCCCACCTTTCCCCACAGGCAAGGAACGCGGTGGCCGTGACCCGTGAGCCTGTCGCCTTAAACAAGGAAGAGTTGGAGTACCGGTACCGAAAGGAGCTGCTCCGTTCCGGACGCAGGCAGAGAACTCCGGTTAATTTGCTCGGAAGGGTGCTTTGCCTGCTGATCCGGTAAGATCTCGCACTGGCTGCGGTGAGCTTATTCAGAGCTGCTGGGCTGAAAGAAAGCCTTTGATGTAGCAAAGCTAAACTATGTGCAGAAAACAGCCAGGAGATGCCTAGGAACGAGGATTAGTTTAAATAGCTATTGCCTTGGCAATGGTGTTGAGCAGATATTGTGTTACTGCATCCTAATTGCTACTGAGGAGACAGCAACTTTATTTTAAATAGGTGGTGCTTTCACATGGAGTGTCATGAGACTGTCGTAGAATGACTGACTGTCGTTC